AGAAGAAGAAGAAGAAAAACTGTCTGTCATTTATTTGAAATATTCTTTTGTAAAATGATAAAGACAAGAGTATATTTGTGATTATGTAACTATTGATAAAACAACGACAATCAATAATTCGATATGTCTTTTATTATTTAATTATCAATAATTTCATTTATTAACAATTATAGAATTAATTAGCTTTTTCATCATTTATATTATCTTATTTTACTATTTAATACAATAAAAACACTTGACATACAACAAGGTCATTTCTTATTAAAACCAAATCGAACAACAATAAAATTAAATCAACCGTTTTTTTTTCTTAAAATATGTTTTCTATTTAGATTTATTTTAATAAACTAATATCAAAGATTTGAAATATGTTTTTTTTCTTCTAATTAATATAATTTGTTTTATAAGAACAAGTAATCTTCATTGACAGTCCAGTTCATTTACCTTTTGATTGATGTTAGAACAATGCATACATTTTAGCAAATTATTAGATTAAGATTTAAAGAAATTTAATATTCAAATTGTTTTTTTATGTACAAACAAAAAATAAAAGAACCTATTTGTTCTAAATCACATGTCAAAATTAACCTAGAAATTATCAAGTAATCGCTTCAACCATAATATTACAGACAAAAATGAATAGTGCTTCATTGTAGGAAAAAAGTTATTAAGATTTGTTAGAATTAATTAAATATATGTTCATCTTTTGAATTGACATTGAATTAATTTAGATAAAATAATTAAAAGAAACAAATTTCGTGTTTATGAGAAACGTTTTTTGATTGTGACATTTTCTAATATTTATCTAACATATTTTTATTTGTCGACAAGTTCTAACAAAAATAGAAAACTAATCATTGACATAAGAATAGAAACAGGAATATTTGGAGAAATTTCTTAATATTTATTCATTGGAAATTATATTAACTTTGTTAATAACATATTCTTTTCTTCTTCTTCGTTTATTTAGTCATATAAGACGAATTTTTTTCTCTAATTTTATATAAATTAAATGTTCACATAACTAGATTTTTAAATGAGAATAGATTTTAATTTAGCACAACAGATGAGATTGAATAAACAAAGCAGAATTAATTATATATCATAACGTTTTATTTCGATGCAATAAAAATATATTTTTTCCTTCTTTTATATTTTGTTTATTATCTGTATTCTGCTAAATAATATTATTTATTTGTCAATTAGTACTACCAAACTTAAAAATTCAAGTTGACTATTCGCTTTTGTAACACTTCGAGATGTTTTCCCTTCTCGACATACTTTCTCAATTGTTGAATAGATCAATTGACATTTTAAGTATGAGATATATGTTATTGTGTTGAAAAGCACCTGACCTCTTGTTTCTTCATTTGTCTGATCATTTTATAAATAGTTAATGATCAAAGATTTGTTCGATATAGAATTATTTCAATATTTTCTTATATTAAATAATTGTTTGAATATATTATTCTAGATTCAATAAAAATTTCAAAGATTATCATTGCAAATTTTGATATTGTTCTTTCTTAAAATAAAATAAAAATATTTAATAATGAGAACAATTCTATTCATTTTTCTTATCAACATATCGAATTGTTATTAGATAAGAATTTTCGACATCGTTTTTTTTTAAAAATTAAAGGAGAAATGTACCGAATTTGTATTCATTGAAATAGCCTCTAATAGTAACCTGGAAAAAAACTATTATTGTGAATCGAAGTAGAAGAATTTTAGAATCTTTACCAAGTGGAAGTAATTAAAAAAAACTAATGACGTTTTCTTTTTTCATGTTTTCATATGAAAGAGCGCAGAGTTCGTCGAGTTTGACAGGAGTATACCGTATTAAATCTTTTCTTTGAGAAGGAGTCAATTGAAAACTAGCATGTAGAGTTGAACATAATGAAAGAAAAAGACGGATGCATTAGATTTTTCTGGCAATACAAAGAATTAAGAAAAATTCTTATACTTCGATCGAAAATGATAGTTGTTAAGATTAGGATGAAAGTCTATTCCGATAAATAATAATTCGATATATTCACTTTTTTATAAAAAAAAATAAATTTTTCGATGAAATTAAATGAAAAAAAACTTTTAGTAGGTTATTTTGTGGAAGATGTTGTATTATATAATTTCTTTTGAAAATTTGTAAATTATTAACAAAAAATATTTGTTTTTTTCTTCATTTGTATTTAATGAGGTGTTAATGATCTAATTAAAGAACATAAGAGTTTTCCTCACTCCGGATATATTAGAAAATGAAAGTATATACATCGAAATATACAAATGATTTTACATGTTTTTTTCTAGAAATAATACTAATTAGAAAAAATGGAAGAATTATTTGTATAGAATAAAATTTATTGTTTAATATGAAAATATTTTAAAAAAGATTGAAATAATTTTGAATAAGCTCGTCGATATTTAATTTGAATAAATGGATAAAGAAATGGATTAAATGTTGAATTAAGCCATAATAACCAAAATGAAATTTGCATTAATTTTGAAGAAATATTAAAACCAGCTGTTGATGCTACTGCACATGTTACATATGGAAATAAAAAGATTAAAAATACAATAACAAGAATAAATAAAGATCGAGCTGCTTTTTTATCACGAGCAATTCTTAAATCTCTTTGATTTAATCGAATATTTGATTTCGATTGATTTAATGGAATTTGAGATGAATATGGATAATCAACAGTTGAATAAACTGAAGAAGTTTTTAAATTTAAATTCGAATATGTTCGAGATAAAATCAATGGAGATGATAAACAATGATCTTTAGTTGTAGTTGTTCTAAAAAATTAAAAATTAAAAATTATTTTTAAAAATTAAAAAACAAACGATTTAATTGATGAATTTAAAGAATTTGTTTGTTGAGTTTTGATATAAGATGAATATTGTTCAATAGAAGATGTTAAATATGTTGTTGTACCTTCTGGACAATCCAATGATGATTTATATTGTTCTTGTTCTTTTTTTTCAAAATCTTGTTGATTTATAACTAATGAATTACAACTTGAATAAGTTTTTTCTTGTTTATTTATTTGAAATTTCAATGATGATTTATTCTTAATAAAATGTTTTGAACGATCCATTTTTTTTGTTCTTTTCCATATATTTAACATAATTAAAATATTAAATAAACATAAAAGAAGAAATGGCCAAATAAAATAATTAAATTGGGCAATTATCATATAAACAACTGACTGATTATAATCACCTAAACATTCATTCCCACTTTCATTGATTTTAATAAAGAAACTAATTAACCAAATTCCAGGAGCAAAATTAACTAAAATATTATTTTTATTTCTTTTTAAATACAAAAATGTCTTACTAAATGAAAGAAACCAAATAAATCCCATAGATAAATAAACAAAATTTAATCTCGCATATTTTCTATAAGAAATTGGATAAGCGATTGACCAATAACGATTTATACTAATTGCTACAATATTAATTACACTTGCCATTGTTGATACATCATCAATTGTTACCCAAATTTTACAAAAAAATCGTCCAAATGGCCAAATTTGAGTAAGACTATTGAAAAATAATTATTATTTTTTAGAAAACAAATCAATCAAACCTGAATGGAATATAAAATGGAATACAAATAAAACCAACAAGAAAATCAGCGATAGCCATATTTAATATAAAATAATCTTTTAAAGAAAAAAAAAATTTTCTATTAGGTTTTAAAAATAAAAAATTTGAATCAAACCATTTATTGTTCGTAATTGTTTATCAAAATAAAATGCCATTAATACAATAATATTTCCAATTGAAGTTATTAAAGCAATAAGACTAAGAAATATTCCAAATAATATTATTTCAATTCCACCCGATGATTGATTTGATATATTCATTTCTTAAAAATAAATGACTATTAATTAAATACAAACTTTTTATTTAAAGAAAAAAGAAAGAAAGAATAGATATTTTCTCTCTCTCTCGGTTTCTCTCTTTTCGAGTCTCTCTTAGAAAAAAAAAACATCCGTTTTATCTTTTGAAAAGGAAAAACTAATCTATGATTTCCTTGATAAATTCAATATTGTTTTTCTATTGAGATTTATAAATAGAATTACTTTTTGTTAAAAA